CCCTGGAGCCCAGGTTGAGTGGCAGCTTGTAAGAGTGGATTGTCCCTTTAAGAGGATGCTGGGCTTCTAACAGCCTCTGTCTCACCCAGGCAAATGGAATCCCACTGATTTTCACAGCCAGGTGCTTTGTGGACTCCTCTTCCCAGCACTGATGGTCTGGACTGGGGATCTCAGTGTGATGTTGAGACCACCTCACTCTTCAAGGAGACCTCTGTAACTGAGATGTTCCTTCTGATTCTCAATGTGGGAGCAAAGCCAGCCTATTTTGCATCTCTGCTTTTCCTACCAGTCTTCATATGGCTTCTTCTGCATATCTGTAGTTGTAAGACTTCTATTCAATTAGTCTTCAGATGATCATCTAAGTTAATTTTTCTACAAATTATTTGTAATTTTTATGTGATCATTGGAGGTGAATGCAACTCCACCTTCTTTGCCATGTTGGATATCTCCAGGAGCATTATTATTATTATTATTATTATTATTATTATTATTATTATTTATTTTAAGTACTCAGAAACAGTCCAACCTTCCCATTCTACAGATAAGAAAAATGAGGCCCAAAGAGATAAATTAGTAAGTCATGGCCCAATTTATCAGCAGAGCTAAGATAAGTATAATATCTTCTCTCTCTAGGTCCAATAAGATTTCTATTTTAATCTACTACTTCTCTCCTTTCAAGAAGTTCAGAAACATGTCAGGATTTTTAATTCATTTTTGAAATAAAAGTACATAGAAAAATAAATAAAATCTTAAAATGGTGTAAAATTTAAAATTTCAAAGCTAATTGAGATACCAGCTTTTCAAATGGCACAGAGACAAGCTAGTTGCAATCCAGCCCCTGCCAACCCAACACCAGATCTTACAGCATGGGGTGACAGCCACTCTGCAGGCTCATAGTAAACAATTCAGCAATACTTTTCCACGGAAGGGACCTAGTCTGGCAGTCAGGGTTCAAGGTCTTCACCTCAGTTTCATCATGAACTTGCCAGCCATTTAAAGCCACCCAAACACATTTTAATCTGGGTTTTAAAAACAAAACAAACAAATTTTAAAAGGGGGAATGAGCCATGAGGGAAAAGGCCATTTTCCTCCCTGAACAGAAAAGAGTACCTGGGAGTAATAGATAGAAAAGAGGAAAAATTAAAATAGCAGCAGTGGCTAATAAAGTTGCATGTGTAAATGGCTCTTTGGTATTCTTGTAGAAATCTAGTATCTACCGGCGACTGGTGGCTGCCTACATCCCCCAGCATATAAGAGGCAGCAGTGGTCATGACTGCAGCCCAGCGAGTCACTACACCCAGCCTGTGGTCTACTCTGTGCCTGAGGGACCTGGGGGACCCTTAGCCCTATAATTAGCAGGGTCTAAAAACACCTAAGGAGTAAAAGGTGCCTTTTGGATCAGTAATTCGATCTCACTGAATTTCTACAACCACCAGCCAAGGAAAGCAGAATAGAAACTGCTGCCTGCTTTGCAGTGTGAGGAAAGTTATGGTTATTTTTAAGGTCATAGAGATCATTGACAACAAGACAAGCCTCCAGCTCCCTCATGGCCTAGAAGTGTTCTTTGCATCACCCCTACTGTTTCAGAGGAGGAAGCTGTAATTGGCAAGGAGCCCTTGGCTTATCAACTGAATTTATCTGCAGGCTGGAGAACTTAGGAAACTTTTAGCAAACAAGAAAAGAAGCAAACAATCAACAGAATAACTCCCATCGGAGAGGCAGAGTCTCCTCCTCCCTCACTGACCTCTGTGTGACCACCCAGGTGGGCCTTGGGTGCCACTGGCAATCTGCTTTATTGGGTTTTGCTCCGCTCCTGTTTACCTGTTTTATCAAGACAGGGCAGTGTGTCAGTGCCTTGCAGGACATTAATAAAGATAAGAGAAGCCATAGCTACCAAACAGAGTTTTCAAAAACTCTCCCCTGGTTTCCCTGGCTGCAGGGCTGCGTGCACAGACACACAGAGTCACTGATGCAGTGACTATTATTGCCATCCAATTATTGTCATTGTAATGCCTATTCAGCTGCCCTTTTGTAAGTTCCTAGAGGGCAGGGACCGTGTCTCGCACTGCTTTTCATGAATTCATGCCTTCCTGCTTCTATTCAGTCATCCTACACACATTTATTGAGTGCAGCCTTCACCGGGCCTGCCACCACTCTGGGAACCCAGAAAATGCATCGCATCCTGTGTGTCCCCCACAGCACAGCACTGCTCTGGATGCCAGCCCTCATGCACCGTTCCAAGAACGAAGCCCCAAATTGGGCCCAGGCTGCATCATCTACAGCAGCCAGAAGGCCAGGAGGCTGCAGGTGACCTCTTCTGTCAACATCTTCATTTCATCCAAACTTCTATAGTATGCCTTTGCTTGTTTTATAATAATTAACAAAAACAATCTAATAAAGTCTACTTTTTAAATCTATGATTTTAAACTTAAAAATCTAGTTGCCTTATCCTTGGCTGTCCTTTGGAATCACCAGGAGAACATTAAGATACTGACGCTGGGTCTTACACCCAAGTGAGCCTGATTTCATTGGCCTGGCCATTGGGAGTCTTTAAAGCACCTCAGGTGATTCTAATATGCAACCAAGATGAGAACCATCATCAAACTCAAGGCAGAGGAGGGATGGTGGCAGGCTCACAGGCAAGGATTGCTCTGGAATTTGTTTTTTTGTAAATCTGCCCAGGTATTTTGGACCCCAAGATCCCTGCCTTGACCCTACACTTCCCATCTGCTCCTCCCATATCTAAGATCTTGCTGTGCTCTGTGACTTCCTGCCTGCTCTTGCATCAGGATGTCCCCCTGACCTAGGGACTCAGAAGACACTCTGGGCCTTTCCGCTTCAGTTAAGACTTCAGGAATCTGCCCCACTATGGGATCATCTACCTGTAAATATGCTCTTTCCCCTGACTTCCCAAAGCCTGGCCATCCCCAGTCTCTGGACTCAAGGCCTCACTCCCTCTGCCTGGAGTTAAGACCTCTTTTTTATTCTTCTTACTATCAGATACACACCTGCCCCTTGTGGCAATGATATCATTTAGGAAGAAGGACCCCATTGAGGTATCAGAAGTTGCAGCATATGGTAGCTTTCAAGCGATGTCAGGAGCATCTGTGGAGGGCCCCACAGATTGTGCCTGACAATTAGCAGAGAGTGCATGCATAGCCTTTTCCTTGATGTTCATTCCAAAGGTCCTATAAATAAAGAACAACTCCTGGAATGTGCAAATCAAAAGCACAGTGAGATACCACTTCACACCCACTGGGCGGGCCATATGTTTATTTAGAAAAAGGAATATAAATGTTGAGGTAGAGGTAAGAAATTGGAACTTGTACATGCTGGTGGGCAAGAAGAAGGGTGTGGCTCCTATGGAAGCAGTTTGGCGGTCCCTCAAAAATTTACCATAGAATTACTATACTACACAGCAATTCCATTCCAAAAGAACAGAAAACAGGGATTCAAACAAACACATGTACACCCATGTCCATAGCAGTATTGTTCACCATAGCCAAGAGGTGGAAGCAGTCCAGATGTCAGATGAATGAAAATATTAATGAATAAATTACCTATAATTATTTATCTATGATCTACACTAATAAAAGAGAAAATGCAAATTGACCATACCTTTGCACCACCCACCAGCCAATCAGGAGTGAGTATGCAAATTAACCCAACAAAGATGGCGGGTTAATTTGCATAGACAGTCACCCAAGCTGCCAGGGTGGGGCAGGATGCTTGTGTCGTCGCCATGGTGATGACACAGGCATTCCGCACTGCCCCAGCTGCTCCAGGCCTCTGGCCAGCATGGGAAGGCAGAAAGGTGGCTCTGGGCCTGAACAAGGCAAAAAGTCGGCTCTGGGCCAGAGCAAAGGCAGAAAGGCAGCTCCAGCCGGAGCAAAGGCCGTGCCGGCAGCCAGGGGAAGGAAGGCCCATTCTTGCACAAATCTTTGTGCATCAGGCCTCTAGTTATATTCATGTTTATATATTATAAAAGCTATATGATTATTTAATAAACAACATATATTGTAAGTAAACATATTAATATATCCTGGCCAGGTAGCTCAGTTGGTTAAAGCATTGTCCAGTATGCCAAGGTGCAGTTTGAACCTTGGTCAGGGCACATACAAGATTCAACAAATAAAGGCATAAGTAAGTGGAACAAAAAAATAGGTGTTTCTCTCTCTCTACCTCCCTCCCTTCTTCTCTTTCTAAAATCAATCAAATAATAAAAATTAAAAAAATAACATGTATTAATACAACATGAATTTAATATTAAGTTACCTTATAAAACATATTATGTATACGGAAATTGAAAGATGAGATTAAAAATATGAAGAAGCCCTAACCGGTTTGGCTCAGTGGATAGCGCGTCGGCCTGAGGACTGAAGGATCTCAGGTTCGATTCCAGTCAAGGGCATGTACCTTGGTTGCGGGCACATCTCCAGTAGGGGGTTTGCAGGAAGCAGCTGGTTGATGTTTCTCTCTCATCGATGTTTCTAACTCTCTATCCCTCTCCCTTTCTCTCTGTAAAAAATCAATAAAATATATTTTTTAAAAAATAAAAAATATGAAGAAATCTCTCTTTCCTCCAGTCTCCAATGAGGCCACCAATCAAGCAGAACACTCCCACATTGGTTTCCCTTTGCCTAGAAACTCTGAGAATTAAAATCTTAAGAGATTTCCCCACCCTCTATCTCTGCTTTTCTTCCTGGCTTCACTGAAATTTTAAGTTTAAGGAGAAAATTTGTTGTGCTACTGTGTTAATGGTGACTGTCTCGTTTTCCAGTTTTCTTCTGGAAAGGCAGCATAGGTATCTGAATGCCTTTATGAGGTATATCTGCTCTAAAGACAAAACTGTGCTGAGGTTGTACCTGTGAGAATGATAATAATGAAGTAAATGTAACCAAAACTCCTGTGGTAGGATGCAGAAGCAGACATGCACAGGGGCAGGCAAAAGGGATTTTAGGGTTGTTAGTATGGAAAAAGACATGCAATAGGTTATTAAATTGCTTTATTAACTCAGTATTTTATGTACTCACAACTGTAAACCTATATTCAAAGAACTATAAGCAAAGAGCTGTTCTCAACTTTATACTTTTGCATTTTGAGTCCCCCATGCATCTAACCCAGTGTTTGTCTCATCAAATGTAGTCCCTTTGATAGATAAGAATCTCTTGTCTGGAGAGTCCAAGTGGGAGCCAGGGATAGGGCAGCTTGGTGGTGACTGTCGTCCAGGCTTCGGTCTCCCATCTGCTGGTGTAAGGGCCTGATGGGTGAGTTTCAAGGATGGCTCTGACTTCCAAGGGGATTCCCTCCATTGCCAATGTGAAGGTGTGCCTGATGGTCATAATTACATGAATATTGTGACACCTGGAAAAAGAAGATGGGAACGTTTTACTTCTGAGCAGGGGAGGGCAGAGCAGGAGAAATAAATTCTGAAAAGAAAATTTTGCTTTATCAATATATTTTTTACAAAATGAAAACCATGATTTGGATTAGTTAACTTCTCACGCCTGTGCTGTAAAACAAAATGGGCAATTTTACAAGGAAATATATATATATTTTTATATACTTGAACATATGTTGAGCCATATGAAAATGCCAATATCTGACTGGTTTAGACCCATGAAAGAATTAAGTTCAAATGATTTAGCCTAATACTTATGTACCAATCAGTAAACTCCTGAAAGTGTGATATTTAAGCAGAAAATATTTTACTGAGGAATAAAAAAATATATATATGAGAGAGTGAGGGGGTTCCAATATAAGAACAAATAACCAAGATAAAAAATAGAATTATCAAGAGTTACTTTTGAATGAATGTTGAAATTCCTCTTCAAAGAAGAAAAATCAGGGGGAAAAATCAAATAAGCAAAGAAGGCTTTGACACCCATGGTGGTGTGTGAAGTAATAGATAGACTGAGACAGATCCACACCCCCCTTTTCAAAACTGAGGTTCCAGCAGCAGCCGCCGCTCCGTGGAGGACAAACCGTCATCGAGAGACCTGTGAAATGAATACAACGCGGCGAGGAGATTTCCCTGGCTGCTGAGCAGACAGCAGACATGCTGGATGGGGCCCCGGCTCAGACAAAGGCTCCTGTTCAGCGGGAACAGGTAGAAGACAGATGGTTTGTTAAACATTGCCAGCATACTTGAGCAGTGCCATTCGGCGGTCAGAGCCTGGATAATAGGCCCAAGGACATTGTGTAGCAGCGCGTTGGCTAATTTCAACCCAGCTAAAGCTATTGCTTATCTTTGTTGGTTTTGCAAAGATTAAGGACGTTTTTTCTTCTTTGAATGCACCATAGCTGCCCCGCAAAGCATTCCTGAAGTTCTGTCTGAATTCCCGCTGCTGAGAGGGGTCAGCAGGACTTGGCACATGCAAAGACTTGTTTTACTGGTAGAGTTGCTTCTCCTTAAAAGATCTGGGCCACTCTGTACTCTTACTTCTGGGGGACACTCTGGAGGCGTGGCAGCCCTCTCAGGGACGTTTCCCGTGGGCTTCAAAGAGAGTCTGCTGTGGATTTCTATTTCCTATTAGGACTGACTCATTTGCTACTTTTGTGGAAAAGGGTTAACACCCTCATAAATTCCATCCGCTGAATCACAGCGAGGTGGTGGTGCAAATTAAAGGTGTTTGCTTTCGGAAGGGGCCCTTAGCTTCTTATCTTTATGTACCGAAGCAAATCAAGCTCAGCCTGGCCCTTGCGACCAATGGAAACATACCTGGAGGCCAACCGAGTCTGGGACTCCAACCTACTGCCCCTCTCCTCTGTTTGCAGACAAAGGAAGAGGGCATAGAGCTGATGTGGAGGGGGCCTACAGGCCCAATGCAAAAGGAGGTATGGCCATTACCTGGATATGTCAGGGAAAAGCGATGTCTTGATCAATCGGTTATTTCAGACCATTCAGGTGCCTCTATCCTCTTTTATAGGCAGTGCGTGGCTCACCCCAGCATCCAATGCCTAAATTAAATCATTTCCAGCTATGAAATTAAGATGTTGTGCCCAGCAGATAAACCCTAAAATTAGTTTTTTATTGCATCTACAGAAGCAAAGAAACCAAGGAAATGTATCCCTCCTTAACACACCTCCCTCCCTCTCTCTCTCTCTCTCTCTCTCTATCTCTCTCTCTCTCTCTCTCTCTCTCTCTCTCTCTCTCTCTCTCTCACACACACACACACACACACACACACACACACACACACACATCTAGGCTAGCATCAGGTATTATCATGTAGAATCAATCAGTAGCAGCTAAGCACTACTGATTTAGTAAACATCTAGGCACTGAGAATATATCCTGGGGAATTAAAAGCCATTTCAATTCTAAAGAGCTTTGCTGTTGGAAACTACAAAACAGGAGAAACCATTGGGAAGTGACACACTCAAATATTGCATTACCATATTTGTTTTCATTCAAGAAAGAAGGATAAAAGCATTGGCTGTGAAGGTTGCCCAAAAATTATTTGAAAGAAATGTTATATATCTTCTCAAGTGAACAGAATTGAAATAATAATAATACTCAGGCACATCACGTTCACACATGGCCCCTCTTAATTTACTTTATATTATTATTTCACCTTGCTCCTCTGTCTGTGTTCTGGCTCCCAAACTCATATAGACACCCCAGCATGTGTTTCATATGCAGTGTGGGACATATATGTAGATCCCATAAGGTGTGCATGGTGCCATCTGTGCTGACAGGCATGTTTTGGGGAGTGGAAGTACTTTCTTTGATTCATATCAGCTTCTTCCCTTTGATTCTTTCAGTCAAGGACTACTATTATTTTTGTGCCATTGTCCATTTAATCTAGTCTTAAAGTGTATGAGTGAACAGAATTTCATGCCCACCTTTATCATGCCAATGCTATATATAAAGAGGTAATATGCAAATTAACCCTCACACCCTTACAAGGTGGCTGCCTATGATCAGGCCAGCAAGGGGGTTAGTGAGGAAGGACCAAACAACTGAACAGCAGGCTGCATGGGGCGACCAGGCTGGCAGGTGGGGAGCAGTTAGGGGTGATCAGGCTGGTAGGGAGGTGAGCAATTAGGAGCCAATAGTCCAGGATTGTGAGAGGAATGCCCCCCAAGAGGTCCCAGATTGGAGAGGGTGCAGGCTGGGCTGAGGAGACCCCTCCTCTGTGCACGAATTTTGTGCACCAGGCCTCTAGTTATTAAAGAATTGATTTTAGCCAATCTTTTCGGTTGGTTGAAGCATCATCCAGTATACCAAAAGGTGGCGGGTTTGATTCCTGATAAGAGCTCATAGCCAGGATGCAGGTGCAATCCTTGGTCAGGGCACATATAGGAGGCAACAGATCTATGTTTCTCTCTCTCTCTCTCTCTCTCTCTCTCTCTCTCTCTCTCTCTCTCTCTCTCCTTCATCTCTCTAAGATAATTCTTTTTAAATAATCTCATTTTAGTAGAGATTTGGGCTGTTCCATTGATTTCCCTTCCTACTGCTCTTATGTCCTTCTTTCTTGTTGCTTTGGCTTTATTATATTATTATTTTCTCTTTTTTTCCTTATATGTTTAGTTATGCTCATTGGTCTTTGGTTTTCAATATGTCTTGCTTACTATTATATGTATTCAAAATTATGCAAAATTTTAAATGCTACTTTAGCTATGAGACACAACTGTTGACATTTGACACTTTTATTTTTAAATAGTTTGTAATTTTAAAATCTCTCTCAATCCCAGTGACTATATAGTACATTTTAAATATATCTTTCAAGGGGCCAAGAAGATGTTTAAAGCTTTTTTGTTGTTACTAATTTCTTATTTTATTTCATTATGATCAGAGAGTACAACCTGTACATGTGGGTTATTTGACATTTATTGAAGTTTCCTTTGTTCTGTGAAAACCTAAAATGAATACTCTGTGGGTATATATTTGATATATAATATGTGTGGCTATTATTTATAAATATATATTTGTTTTCTAGAAAACATATAAACAAAGTAAAAATACAGAGGTGAAGTTAATTTTAATTATATATTTTATTGAAAACAATACATCCAAAATAGCATAATTTCAACATATAATCAATATAAAAGTAATGAAATATTTTGCATTCTTCTATATTAAGTACTAGGAATCTGGGGTAAATTTTATACTTAGAGTACATCTCAATATAAATCCTAAATTCACTTCAGATACAGTTGCTCTGTATTTAGATTTCATTTTGCAATTGAAAGAGTAGATTCACATACCCAAGTGGTTCCGAACGTACATAAAAGTTGTCCAGTAGCTGAACCAAGTACAGTAGACCCCCTGATGCATGGTTTCCTTTCTGCCATTACAGTTACTGACAGTCAATCACAGTCTCAAAATCTTAAATAACTGTGAAGTACTTCAGAGGTTGCAGGTCCAAACAGAGATGTGCTGTGAGTGTAAAACACACGTTATATTTTGATGATTTAATATGCAAAAACAAGTAAAAATCTCATTAATAATTTTATGTTGATTGCTTACTGACATAATGTTTGGATATATTAAATTAAATTAAATATTTAAATTAATTTTGCCTACTTTTTTCAGATTAATTATATATTAGAGCTCACTCCATACTTATCAAATATTATTTGTTAATAACATTATTAACAAATATTATTTGTTCAATTAAAAGGGCATTTTAACAAGGGACCATGCTTCTGAGGCATGCCATTTTCAAAGGCCTCTTAGATACCTACCATGATACTCAAGTCATTTCAAATCAATTATACCCACTCGTTGCCTTATTCACATGCATAAAGCTACTGACCACATTCTGCATGCTAGACACTGCTCCCAGCACTTTCAGTTCCCTGCTACGGTTTTCTTCTTGTGAGCAAAGACATATGATAAGCAATAAAAGTAAGAACTTAGTGAATTTCAGTGCATGCTCAAAGACAATGGGTGCTATGGAAATAAAGAGAAAGGAAAGGAGTGTGGGATATGTGGGCAAATACCATCATAAACTTGGTATTTTCATTAAGAAGGTAATATTGGTGCAGCAACATGGAGGAAGTGAGGGTATTAAGCATACTAAGTGGACTGGTCTGGTGGGACTGGAGCAGATGAGCAGGGTGGGGAAGGAGATGATCTCAGTGGGGTAAGGGGGCTGAGCATGTAGGAATTTTTACATTAATCTCCGTGAAATGGAATGTCATTGGTGAGTGTGCAGGTGGGATGTGGCTTAACTCACTTAACAGTTTTTGAGGACGACTGCCTGCTTTGTTGAAAATAGGCTGTGGACAGGAAAGGGTAACAACAAGGGAACCAGTGAGGAGGCTCCTACAATAATGCAGGAGCAAGGTGCTGGCGGAGCACGTTGGTAACAGTGGGGGTGGTAGGAAGTGGCAGGACTCTAGATGTACTTTTGAGGTTGCACTAACGGGATGTCTTGATGCAATGAATATGTGAGGTGTAAAAGAAAGGAAAGTCAAAAATGATTCCCAGCTTTTGACGTAAGCACTTGAAGGTCTTGCAGGTGGAATTTATATTCTTTCCCAGAGTTGCAAGAAAAGCATTCCAGGGACCCAGGTATAGGAGGTTGTGGCACAATGATATTTATTTGGGTGAAAACAGAAGGCTGCCCCCACGTTCCCAATATCTCATCTCTGTCCCTCCTGCCATGGAAAAAGTTCAGCCTTTTTTTATTAGGCCCAGAAATATGGCCAGTGTTCAGGCATTTTGTGCTATTGGTTCAGTCCATGTCTGTTCACATCTGGCTGGTGCAGTCTGTTCCCAGTTGCGCTCTGGCTGGTGTTGTGTTGCACAGCATGCAGCTGTTAAATACACGTGGCTGCTATGGAGAGGACATGTGAGCAAGCAGGATGAGCATGTGTTACAGAGGAGTGGAGGAGGGGGGGGGGGAGAGAGAGAGAGAGAGAGAGAGAGAGAGAGAGAGAGAGAGAGATTAATTCTTTGTTAGGCTGATTATATTATTTTGGGCTTGGAACACACCAGATGCTCTTCAAATGAACCAATCAACTTCTCAAACTTTTGTGGGCTTGCACTGGGCCCACCCTCTAACCAATCCATTTTCCAGCTCTTTCTGGATTCTGTGTCCCTTATCCAGTCCAATCCTTTTCTCAGGCTAGAGAGACAGGCCTTTATGGTTGCCATTTTGGTTCTCACTGCACATGTGCCCAGCAGAGGAATGTCTCCTGCTGCTTCTCTTTCTCCCCTGGTAATGATTTTTCCTGCCTGCTTCGCTTGGGGGGAATTAGGTCCGGGGGCAGAGGATGCCGTGGGAAGTGTATGAAGCTGTAACTTCCTAAGGAAGCAAGACTATGCTCCCTAGTTGATTATGCTAAATAATGTTTGATTCCCTTTTCTCTCTTCCTTTAGTAATATTTAGCTACCTATGCTAACAGAGGAATGCAACTATTGAGCACCCACTTTTTTTATTAGGCAGCATATGCAAGAAATACAGAAATCGCCCTGACTGGTTTGGCTCAGTGGATAGAGCATTGGCCTGTGGACTGAAGGGTCCCGGGTCCAATTCCGATCAAGGGCATGTACCTTGGTTGCGGGCACATCCCCAGTAGGGGATGTGCAGGAAGCGACTCATTGATGTTTCTCGCTCATCCATGTTTCTGACTTTCTATGCCTCTCCCTTCCTCTCTGTAAAAAATCAATAAACTATATTTAAAAAAAAGAAATACAGAAATCCAAAAGCTCTCTGCACTGAAGGGACCCTCAGCAAAGTGGCATGAAAGACACATGCATGTGAAAATACACAGCACTCCGTATGAGAGTACCTGTGCAAAAGGAAAAAGAATGATCATTCTAACTTGTCTGCCAGGCTTCAATTAGGTTATTTGGACATATATACAAACTCATCAGACTCAAAGTATTAAAAAGGTATCCTATAGTCAAGAAATAGCATGTGCAAAGCCCAGTGTTGACAAAGAAGGTGGGTTATTTGGGGTCTTGCAAGTAGAGTGGATGGTGAGTGGCCTGCCAGAAGAGGCCCAACGTGAGAAGAGACAATCAGAGTAGGGGCCTGATCATGAGAATATGTGCAGAGCCTGGGTCTTCTCTAGGTAGTGGTGAGAGATCAGAAGTTTCTACAGGAAACTACATGGTCAAATGTGTGTTTCCAATGGATAAGTACTGTACTCTATGTAGAACTGATGGGAGAGAGGATACATTTTAAATATATAGAGGAGTTAGAAAGCTGTTAAAATTGCCCATAGTTTTATTGAGGGATTCAACTAGAAAGAATTGGAAGTTAAGAAAGGACTGATTGGAAAGATTTGGGGTTTAATTCGTAGGAATCAATGACCGATTGAAAGTTGGAGTTTCAAATGTGGAGGAAAGAGAATAAAGAATACTCCCCTGGTTTCTGATTTGGGGGCCGTTGGGTGTTTTCATAAACTGAGATGGACAAAGCAGAAGGGACAGAAAAATGATTCAAGTATGCAGAGTTTGCTTAATTTGGATTCCCCAAATGCTGACTGAAAGGATTCATTTTGGAAGGTGACCTTGTAAAAAATGTAGAAAAGTAGGGAAGCAAGACAGAAAAGGCACAAATGTTGACTTGCACAGGTTACTGCTCTTGGCGGAGGTGTATTGTCACAGCTGCTGGGCCCTCTGGAAGATGCAAAGGGTACACATCAGAATTGTTCCACCTAGGGAGCTGGGTATTTATTCACAGATTCTCAGGGTGTCATTGATTCCTGATTTCCTCTGAAGGAAGCCCTCAGGCAAAAAGGAAGGTGACCCAAGGAGGAAGTCTGGGTGTGAATGAAAAGGCAAATACCCAGAGGATAGTTGGAGGCACTGAAAACAGCAGCTAAAAGGTGCCCCTTGAGGGAGATGTACATGTGGAAATGCCACTGTAGCCACAGAGACTACAAATGGGAAGTTTCAAGAAGTCAGGCAGGAGACTGTGCTTTGGGGACTCCAACACAGTTGGTTAATATTAGCAGAAGCCTTTTCAAACTGGTTTCTTTTCCAGATATCTCTCTTTTGCAGTGAAGACACCTTCACTTGTAAGTTATTAATGTGAACCTCTCCTCAGTACCAACTACGCTGGTGTGGCTGGATTGAATTTGTGCACCAACTGCTCTCTTGATAAAATGTCACTCTATTGGAAGAGAACTCATGAAATTTTATTCCTAAGGGATATTTTTCTAAGATTTTGTTTCTTTTCTTTTCTTTTTTCTTTTGTGTCTGAAGTTTTACATATGTCTCCTTTCTCCCCCCCCCCGCCCCGATTGATGACACCTCCCCCCCCCCATTTGCCCCCAGCCATTCCCACCCTGGGAAGATTTTGTTTCTTAAAGGCAACTTTATTCTATTTAAGAAGTAGGTGTTCCATTGATTGAGCCCAGCTTTCTAAAGAGTAGTAAACAATAATCTCTATCATGGACTAGAGTTATGAGCATTCCTGAATTTAGGTTGGAATTTTGGCTTTAAAAGAAAAGCTACAGACTTGATTACAGGAAAAATACACACACACACAAAGAAATTTGGGAAAAGCCTATGTCCTTTCAGCAGGAACCAGAAGCACAGGAGGAGGCTTGGAAATGGAGTAACTAGTGGAGGTAAGCATGCCCATATATCTTCCTGTTGGCCTTTTCTGTCCAACCTTATCTATGAGCTGCTGGCCTGGAGCAGGAGTTTCCAAGTATTTAAGAATACACATTAAATTCCCAGTCTATATTCATACAATTCCATATGTCTAAGAGCTATATTCTAAAGACGATGAGTAGAGCCTTGGAACTATCTTCAAGTTCAAATGTGATCTGTGTCCAGTTAACAGTAGGCGCTTAAATGGCCTGTTTGGCCTTCCAAAGTCTCAACTTCCTCAGTGGCAATTAGACCCACCTCACAATTTTTTCAGGATTGGATGTGATAGGGAAGAAAGAAACTGCCATGAGTGCTGAATAGCTCTTGATAGTATTAAAGATTTGGTCTAGATGACTTTCACTGTTATCCCAACTGTGGACAATTATTAAGCTTCCTATGGCTCTGATTACAGTACATAGGCAATGGCTTGAAGGTCTACAGTATGTGAGACAGACATCCACCTCTGGGGGCCCACAGCAAATGATTCAAACACTAGAGCCCCCACTGGGTTCTATCTTTCAAGAAAAGCACTAGATCAGAGAGACCTTGAGTTCTAATCCTCTTGGACCTCTCATGATGATAGACCCTAGATAGATTATTTCATTCCCTTTTATGTGGAAAAAAATTATATTGGACATATCTGACTCGTACAGCTCAATGCTTCCATAACCTGCACTTAAAACTCTGGTCTTGACTAACTCATAGTCCAATTACTCTGGTTAATTAAGAAACTGAGGTGATAGAAGAAGCTTCATGAGCCACTATCTTCCTAATGAGTGCTAAGGGACCATCCTCTGGAGCATTGCAATTTTCTCAGCCCC